AAGAGAAAAGAAGGGCAACATCCTGCTTCTTCTGGTGACAGGCTTCTCTCTGCTTCTGCTTGGAATATTGCATTCAGCCTCCATGGACTGCTTTTGGCAGGGATAGAGTTCAATTTCCGCATACTAGCTAGCACCGGGCTATGTTTTGGTTTTGTGCTGGAAACACTGTTGCTAACACAGGGATGTGCTGTCAGTTACTGCTGCACAATGCTTGCACATCGTGCTCACAAAAGCCTTGGCCTTTTCTACCTTTCACCAGCGAGCAGGCTTGGGGTGCACAAGGAGATGGGAGGGGACACAGCCCTTGGGGTCAGCCCCAGCTAACCAAAGGGATATTCCACACCATATGATGTCATGCTCAGACCTCACTTGGAGTATTGTGTGCAGTTCTGGTGTCCTCAACATAAAAAGGACATGAATCTGTTGGAACAAGTCCAGAGGAGGCCACCAGGATGATCAGGGGACTGGAGCACCTCCCATATGAAGATAGGCTGAGAAAGCTGGGGCTGTTCAGCTTGGAGAAGAGAAGGCTGCGTGGAGACCTCGGAGCAGACTTCCAGTATCTGAAGGGGGCCTATAGGGATGCTGGGGATGGACTCTTCATTAGGGACTGTAGTGATAGGACAAGGGGTAATGGGTTAAAACTTAAACAGGGGAAGTTTAGATTGGATATAAGGAGGAAATTCTTTCCTGTTAGGGTAGTGAGGCACTGGAATGGGTTGCCCAGGGAGGTTGTGAATGCTTCATCCCTGGCGGTGTTCAAGGCCAGGTTGGACGAGGCCTTGAGTGATATGGTTTAGAGCGAGGTGTCCCTGCCCATAGCAGGGGGTTGGAACTGGATGATCTTAAGGTCCTTTCCAATCCTAACTGTTCTATGATTCTGTAAGTGGTGAATGAATTCCTTGTCTTTGCCTGCATGCACAGCTTTTGCTTTACCTGTTAAACTTTACCTCTTTATCTCAACCCATGAGTTTTCTCACTTTTACCCTTCTGATTCTCTCCCCCATCTCACTGTGGGGAGTGAGCAGGTGGCTGTTGGTGCCTGGTTGCCCGCTGGGGTATAGCCACAACATGCCATCATGGAAAGAAACGCAGTATGTCAGTGATGGTCAGACACCATTTCCTATGTGTACCAATACTAGTCTCTGGATCTGGATGTGGTTTCAGTTAATAAGCAAAGGAAAACTGGGGCTTAACCTTAAGGCTCTGTGTTTCCTGGCCACTTTTAGACATTTCCAAACCATGAACAGAGGGCTGATCCTGAAGGTCTGTCTCTTACGGCAGGTTTCTTAATTCTGTGTTTTCCAGAGTGAGAGTTTGCCCTCAGTCTTACTCATTTCTTGGTCTTGTACTGCACACAGCCTTTTCAGAACCCTACATTCAGACTAGTAATCTGTTTCAAAGGCAGTTTGGGGGCAATGCTCTGCCTAGTTTTGCTCTGGTAGCCTAAAAACTAGACCGATGGAGGTTGTAAACAGGGCATTCTTTCAGGGGGCTGGTTTGAGTCCTGGATGTCCTCCTGCCTGCCTTCAGGTGACATTCCATTCCCAGTGATGGTAACTGGGTGGGCATCTGCTTGCCTCCTTGGTCTGCCAGCTTTTATCAAGCCCTCACTCATCACATGTGCTTTCTCCCATACTTGGTTCCCATAGCTGTGATTTTAAAGGTTGGGATCTGCAAGTATCTAAGTTTTGCGGCTCTCCGGGAAGGACTCTCAAACTCAGCCTTACGTTACTAAATACTGTCTGTGGAAGGGAGCAGTACAGATACTTTGAACTTGGAGACAGATGACAGGAGACAGCTGTTTGTATCTATGTAGATGGTTTATGTGCTATTTAACAAGACAGCCAAATCCTCTACAAATAAACAGGCCTCCTTTTTTTAGTTGTGCTTTAACCCTCATCCTGCATGGGGAATTTATTTGATAAAAAACCTTGACCTTCTTTTTTTTTTTTTTGCTTACATTGCTTTTTTGGAACTCTGATGATGAGAGCAACTCTTTACAAAACCTGGCAGACAATCATGTTTTGACTATGAGTAGCTACAATTCAAACCTGCCACTTTTCCTCAAGAAGAGTATGCCGAAAGACCCCTACTTTTTGGTGAGAAGTTATGTTACGGAATACAAGTCATCATCAGCTTCCCAGAATTAAAATCCTGAGCCTTTGACTTGCTCCGAACATTTCTTTAGCCATGGAAGAAGAGACAATGACTGTCTATAGGCAGCAGAAGTTACCACAACAGCAAGGGATGAACGGAAAACAGCTACATTTGGCGTCATACCAGATCATGTTCCAATTAGGATTTTGAGTGTTCTATGGAAGCCCTCCAGTCATCAGTGAATCCGACATACAGAAAGACATCTGGCAACCTTTAAGCACTTTACAGAAGCCCTTATGCCAGCAGAGAACATGCTAGAAGCCCTTCCATCCTTAGACAGCTTTATAGAAAGCTGTGTGTCTGCTGAGAAAATAGTCTTCTCGTGACAGCAACATCAATTTTCCTTACTGAGACTCCAGCTCCAACCTGAGCTTCAGGTGAGTCGCAGGGCAAAGGTGTTAATTCTCCCTAGCAGCCTTCCCAAGTGATGTTTTTTGCTCTTCAGAAGGGTATTCTACAAGTTTTCTGTTAGCTGCTTTTTCCCCCCAATTGCTCTCTGTGTTACAGCTTTCTGTGAGCAGAGGAACCCTCTCCATGTCCAGCCAGGTCAGAGAACATTATTCATTCAGCTTGATAAAGGACACCTACTTGGAAAACTGAAAGCTATACTGATTGATTTGAGCAGCAGCATCTTATCTAAGGCTTCCCCTAGCTACATGGATCCTGTTAGAATTAAGCAAACAAGATCAGCCTCTATGCTGATTAAACTAGAATAGAAACCTCAAGAGCATCGAATTTACTTAATATCTCTAGCAGGAAGACATTTTTTAAGTACTAGATATAAATAAAACTCTCCACTGAATTACCTAGGTCTGTTGAAAAGCAAATTTGCAGCAGCCTGGTTATATCTGTTATCTATAAAAACATTAATATTGACTCATTTTGGGAATGGAAAAAAAATCCCAAACTAAAGGGATATACATGTATATAAACATAAAGACTAGTCCTAGGTTACCTCTGTCTGATGGAGTACAATGCAACAAAAACTAGTAACAGTTTTATGCTTAACACTGCATGTAATTGCTAGGTGCAGTCTGTGCAATGGTGCTGGGGCAGGTTCCCAAGCCCTTTGCTTCGAAAACATGCTTACAAACACTGTTCAGAGGAACTGAATATGGATTGGAAAGGGATGTTTCTGAGATGATGTTGGCTTGACAAACTCTCGGTACACTGAGCTAGCACAGACGTCCTTATCTTATGGTCTAGCTGTTATAAATACACATTTTGTTACACCTGAAGTTTCACTCCTCCTGTTAATGGACAACATACCCAGTAACATATAGAACTTTATGATCCTTGAATGGTTTGCACAGCAGAAAACCTGTTAGCAGTTTCCTGAGTGACACCATTCACTTACATGGTGTTCAGCTCCTGTAAAGCATGTCAGAGAGATAGGCAAGTAATTCTTATGGCAGGGTATGATGCTTTGCATGTGAAAGAGACCCTGTTAGCTGTGTGGTGATGGTATGATATGTGGCTTTAATTTCCCTCTGTATCTGACCTGAAACCTATAGTCACACACACTGATGTGCTGTGGGGCGCGTCTGGTTTCTTAGGTCCACTACGATGTATAGCTTAAGGTAATGTTATGGACCTGTTGTTGAAAAGTTGGGAAACTCCATGAGTTTGACTCACAAAATGTTTGACTCCACAAGGGTTTAATTTCTTACCGATCAACACCTTCAGTAGTGTTCACAGTGTCAGATAAAGAGGCACTCTGCTGTGAATAACACACCCAACTGGTCACAGAAATTGAGCTTTGAACAAAGGTGCCTTTAAAGAAAGAATTTCACGGAACATTTGGACATCCACACTTTGAATGCCAGGTTTGGGGGCATTTTTGCATCCAATGTTATATTTCATTCTACTCATAGTAGGCATTTTTGTGTGATTGAAGTTAGGAGTTTCTAAATTAAGGGTCAAATTCAAGTGCTAGTGAAATCAGGGTGTAAATCCACACTCATGACAATTTACACCAAATCTTCTTTACCAAGAGAAAGAAAACTCTTCAGCTCAAACGTTAAAAACCGAGATTTAATCGATGCATTGACAGGAACTCTCCGGGAAATTAGGAGATTTTGGTTGTACTTGCAGAAACATATGGTTTAGACCTAAATTCTAACGTCTGGGTGACATTTACTGTCCTAGGTGAAATCCTGAAACCTTTACAAGCACAAGGTTTAGCGGGTGCTTTCAGACTTCCTGCTATTTCTAATACCGTTCACTTTGCTGGCGTTTATCCCAGCACGACTGTGAAATGTCACAGGCTCTCATGGGATCTGTCAGCGTCAAAACAGCGCTTGTTAGCGATCAGCTCCGGGTAGAAGCTGGCTCGGCGGCGCTGGACCTATACGGACAGACTTCCAGGTACTCCGCGTGGTTACGGCAACACTTCCATTCTCAAATAGACTTTTAAGTGCTGCATTAACTGCCCGTGAGGACGCAACGTTTCGGCCCCAGCATCTCCTCCCGCTGTCCCTTGCCGCTGGGCTCAGCGGAGGCACGGCAGGGATAGGGGGTGGCGGATCCCGCTGCCCTCGGAGCAGCACGTTTTGGGCGGAGCGGACCCGGTCCCTCGGCGGGGCGCGACGGGACAGGGGCGGGCTGGCGCGGGGCGCGGACGGGGCAGCGGCGGCGGGGGCAGGAGGGAAGGAGGGGGCTGGCGTCAGGCGCCGGGCAGCCACTGGCAGGGAGCTCCCCCCTCGCCTCGCCTCCCGCGGCGAGGGATAAAGGCACCTGGCCCGGTGCTCAGAGCCGCCGGAGCGGGCAGGCGGCGGGCAGCGGCGGCGGCCCAGCGGGCTTGCGGTGGTCGGGCCCGGCCCCGCCGCGCAGCCCCCTCCATGCGGCTCGCCGGGGGCTCCGGCCCGCCCCGGGCGGCGCCCTCTCCCGGGAACGGCAGCCGGTGGCGGGCGGCGGAGCCCGGCGGCAGCAGCCCCAGCCCCGAGGCGTGGTCGGGGTCGCCCAACGGCAGCCTGGGTGGCTGGGACCCGTTTGGACGGGACGAGGAGCTGGCTAAGCTGGAGATCGCCGTGCTGGCCGTCACCTTCGCCGTGGCGGTGGTGGGCAACGGCAGCGTGCTGTTGGCCCTGCGGCGCACGCCCCGCAAGGCGTCCCGCATGCACCTCTTCATCCGCCACCTCAGCCTGGCCGACCTGGTGGTGGCCTTCTTCCAGGTGCTGCCCCAGCTCTGCTGGGAGGTGACCCACCGCTTCCACGGCCCCGACGGGCTCTGCCGCGTCGTCAAGCACCTGCAGGTCTTCGGCATGTTCGCCTCGGCGTACATGCTGGTGGCCATGACCGCAGACCGCTACATCGCTGTCTGCCACCCGCTGAAGACGCTGCAGCAGCCCACCAAGCGCTCCTACGGGATGATCGCGGCTGCCTGGGCGCTCAGCCTGCTGCTCAGCACCCCGCAGTACTTCATCTTCTCCCTCAGCGAGGTGGAGCGCGGCTCGCAGGTGTACGACTGCTGGGCGCACTTCATCATGCCCTGGGGACCCCGCGCCTACATCACCTGGATCACCGGCGGCATCTTCGTCGCTCCCGTCCTCATCCTCGTCACCTGCTACAGCTTCATCTGCTACCGCATCTGGCGCAACGTCAGGGGCAAGACGCGCTCCGGGGAGGCGGCGGCGGGTAGCGGGAGGCGGCCGGGTGGTGGCGGCGGCCCGCGGCGGGGGCTGCTGCTCGCCCCGTGTGTCAGCAGCGTCAAGACCATCTCCCGCGCCAAGATCCGTACAGTGAAGATGACCTTCGTCATTGTCTCGGCGTACGTCGTCTGCTGGGCGCCCTTCTTCACCATCCAGATGTGGTCCGTCTGGGACCAGCACTTCCCCTGGGTCGGTAGGTGACCGGGAGGCCCCGGCGGGTACCGGGAGGGCACGCCGCGGAATTCCGCCGGCCGCACTCCACGCCCTGGGGTTCCTCTGGGGGCACAACCGGTGTGTGGTCCTGAGCCGAGAGCGGAGGGGATGCGGCGCGGAAGCCGGTGCCGTCCAGCTGAACACACCCCTCTATATCCCCCCCCGGGGACTAGCAGCCAAACTCCCTCACCCCTGAAGGCGCCTTCGGGGCCGAGGTGAGCCCCGGGCTGCCCCGCCGACCCCGCTGGCACCCCCGGACGGGACGGCTCCCGGGAGCGGCTGCGCGGAGGCAGCGGCACCCGGCTCGACCGGCCCCGGGGGCAGCCGGAGAGGAACGGCTGCTGGTGGCAACCGGGGACCGGAGGTGGGCAGCAGCCGCTGCCCTCTCAGCCAGAGCGAAAGGAGCGGGTGGGAACTGAATTCCCTGCCACGATAATTTGCTCCAGCAACATTTTCTTCCGTGTGAAGATGCCGGTTAGTAAAACTTCATAAACGTTATGTGCTGTTATGAAGCATACACACTTACATGTCACGAGTAATTATGCGAGCAGGGAATTTACTAAGTCCTCTTTCATGTAACTGCCTTTCATGTGCGCACTCTGCTGTCTAATAACAGGGCTGAGTGCACCCTGAACCCTTCCTCTCAGTAGGGTAGCTGCCCCTGAGCAGCTTCTTTAGCCAGCCACCAGTTCTCACGGAACAGTGGCAATTCAGTATTGTGGAGTTACCTGTCCCACTGTTAAATCTGTCTGAAAATAATTGGTGAGTTTAAAAGTTACTTCATAGGGAATGGCAGGCAACATAGGAACCTATCCCCTACTTGCTCGTGAGAAAGCAGCAAATAAAAAATGTTAGAATTCATAATATCTGGATTATTGTAATATCCCCAAATTACCACTTACTGTAGTGTAGCACTGGTTGCCCCTAACGGGGGAGTGGAGTCAAGCCTACAATGAAGGTCTCTACAGAGAAAAAAGGCTTGCAGTAAAAAAAAAAATAGATTTTTTTTTCTCTTTCACTTCAAAAGAAATGCAAACCTAATTGAACAGATGGGTATTTGGTAGGTTTGTTTGAAGAGATTTTTTAAATCCACAGAGCTGCGTAACACAGCAGTTAAGCTTCATTGAAGATTCGATATTTACAAAGATAGATCACTAATAATTGCTTAGACTAAATATATATTTAAAGTCTCTGATATTTTAACCAGTTATTAAAGGTAGAAGACTGTAACTGTTCTATGGCATAGTGCTTATTTCCATTTTTCCCTTAAGTAAAATTTGTTCAATCTCTGAAATCCAGATTTGATTCACAAGCCAGTAGTTACTTGAGCATCCAACACTTTCCAGCAAGCAAATTCAGTGGTTTTGAAAGCAGTGGAAAACTTGCCATTGCCTCCCAGGCTAGGCAGTTTCTAAAACCAAGGTCTGGATAAAAACTTCAGTATTTAAAACATGAGTTTATCAACACATGGATAAACATGGGACTGAAGCATTGTTTTTGCATCGATTTTTCCATGTCTTCTTCTGTCACAGCTCTTTGAAGTCTGTTTAGACAAATTCCCCGTGACTTCAATGGAAGCCTTACATAAATAAGAACTTCCCTGCTTATGTCCTTATTATTCATTCCAAATGCTGCTCCTCAATGTTGAGAATTAGAATTATTCAGGAAAATAAATCCAGCAGTCAGTAAAGTGATTGACTGAATGGTACAAATGTCCTTTTGATGATTAAACCGCTTTTCCCCCTGCTCCCTAGATTCTGAAAACACTGCGACTACCGTCACGGCTCTGTTAGCCAGTCTGAACAGTTGCTGTAACCCATGGATCTACATGTTCTTCAGCGGGCATCTCCTGCAAGACTGCATCCAGAGCTTCCCTTGCTGCCAGAAAATAAAGCAAACACTGAGTAAAGAAGATTCAAACAGCAACAGCAGGCGACAGACCTCCTTTACCAACAACAGAAGCCCAACCCACAGCCTGAACACCTGGAGAGAGTCACCCCATTCCAAATCCACCAGCTTCATTCCCATCCCGACATGAGACAGGCCCCAGGGGAGGCAGGGCTTGCAGCCCCCTGGCACTGCTTGGGAAGGCTCCTGCATAGCACTTGACACTGGTCAGGGTCACCAGTCATGGTAATAAGGAATGACTGCGATGGCCTTTAGACAAAATGTGCCATATTGCCCAATAAGCAGTTCTGCAGCATATAATTATTTTCTGTAAGGTGTTTAGGACTTGGGCAACTGATAGGAAGGCGTTACAACAATAAAGCAATTATTTTTCTAAATAGAATTTATTATTTTATTTTTTCATTTCTGAAGTATGAAGCATATTGTTTGCTGCTTGTTCAAAGCAGGAAGAACAGTGGAGTTGGCATACGTTGGGATAACTCCGCTCTCTAGTGTTAATGCCTAAAATGCTTCTCATGGTTGATGAAGACACAGGGGAAGAAGATGATATAAGCAAGGTCACAATTTAGTCTTAAACACAAGAAGTAAAGAGTTGTAAAAAAGTCCTGACTCTCCAGATAAGGAGCATGGTTAGACAGGAGCTGAGTTACTGGGAATTTAATTGATCATAGTGCTCTTGTAAAGGTCGAGAAATTCTCAGTTAGTAAAGTGTAATAGCCCGTGTGAAAGCAAATCCTTCATTGCATTGATGTGTGGATGTGTATTGTGGGGTTTCATTTTTAGGGTGACATTTCCTCTCCCGTTCATGTTGATGGCACTCATACAGCATATCTGGGGGGTGGGGGGTGGGGTGTTGTTGTACCTACCTTGATTTTTTAAAACTAATTTAAAGAAAAAATCAGTGATGAAGAAGGATGATCATCTGTGACTATGTCAGCATTGTTACAAACAGCTACAAGACCGTGTCTACCAGAACCACTGGCTTTATGGGTAGGAATCACCTATTTTCTTTGTTTTGTCACTAAGACAGGTAGGATCAAGCCACATTTGATTGACAAGCAAATAAATTCAGGAGAATGTGGCCACTTGTTAAGAGTTGAAGAATCAGTGCATTCCAGAACACAAATCTGAGAAGCAAACTTGGAAATCTTCTGGAAATATGCAAAAGTTGTCAATGTTGTTTTGTTGTGGGTTTTTGGTTTGTTTTTTTTTGGCAGATCTTGATAATATAGACTTCAAAATTGTCAGTAAACTGCAATAAAAAGTCATTACAACACATTTACTAGTTCTAAAGCATTCAAGGTGTGCTTGTTTTCACTACAGTGCATGACAAATCAAATGTAGTTTCTACAGCTTGTAAATAATCCTGTTATGTCTTTCCATGGAGTCCGTCTTTTACCTGGAGATTGGGTTTTGGAGATCCGTGTCTAAGTTTTGCAGTGGCTTTAGAGCCCTATGAATTTCTTTGAGAAGTACAGCCGCATGTCTGCTCTGTTCTCCTGAGCTCTCAGGGTCCTGAAATCCAGGTGTCCCCTGGCATAGTGCAGGACTTCTGATGCAAACCCATCGGGCTCGCTTGAGCGGTTGTGCACATGCATGGCTGTGCAACATGTATGCTTATGCTTGCAAGGAGGAACCTCAGCAGCAGGTTCCTCTCCCACCAAAACCAGGGAAACAAGATTGCTTCTCTTATTGCTTTAGGAGAGGAAAAACCTGGGCCGCAACTGTGGCTTTCACTGAGGATGGTGCTGTTGCCATCCCTGTTGCATAACAGTAGCAGAAATAGAGCTGGATTCAGGGTAAGAGCATATTCAACCTGCTGGCCACTCCACAAGCTCCCAGATGTATCGCTGACTGTTCCAGACAAAGAACAGGTAAGATTATAGCTAGCCCTCCCTTCCCCATAAATTTAGATGCTGTTGTCACTAAAGAAAATCTCAGCTCTTCTCTCCACATATCCTGTTATCGTATTCTGCTTTTTAAGAGGGAAGTCTGGTCTAACACCTTGTTATTCTTCAAAACACTAGAACCCAAAAGACAGCATGGTGGAATGGCTTGTATTTAATAGACTATCCTTTTGACCACCTTTAGCACACAGATATGACTACAACTTTCACCAGTTCTGGGTGAAGGTTTGTGAACCTTATTTTTTAATCCAAAAACATGCATGCAGTGTAGTTGATTGTGTGTGTTTGTGCACATTATATGTACTACATATATTTTGCAAGTAGGTAATTCACAGTTACTGAAACTGCAAATGTTTCAAGTTAAATACACTACCCTTTGCCTAGTGTTCTATTTGTGTTGCTGCTTTCTTTGTACATAAAATAGGTATTAAGAAGCAATTTGAATTGGCTGTACTAACAGAATTTTCATGTTTGTGGAATTGAATTATTTTTCTATTATGCTTTATATTCAAACAGAGAAGATGGCGAGAAAACAAATGTAGAATAATGTTGGTAATAAAACTAAGCTGGGTAATGAGCAATCTATAGAAAAACAAACTCAAAATTATAACTTTCAGTTTCTTCCAAATATGTTGCAAAATCCAGGCTTACGCTTGGGGCTTGTCAGCATAAACATACCCTGTGAGAGCTCTACAGTTTCTGTAATTAAATTGACAGCACCATTTAGCAGTATTTGGATTCCAGGAATTTTTTGTGAATGCAAGTTTTGTTTTTTCACATAATTGTGGAATTGGAAGATACACCCATAGTTTTCAATTGTGCATCTGTGGAAATGTGTTTTGTTCCTTTTTTTAAAGCTCCTTTGGGTTATCATGAAGACACACCAATGAAAACAGAACGCAACAAGAAATTGTGAAACCATTGCATATTTAAAACCTGGAAACATGCTCTAATAAAGCTGTATATTTGTTTGATGAGATGCATTTTTTTCCTTTCACTTGACTAGATTTTGCAGGGACAGAAACATATTTGGTGACACTTCTTATATTTCACAAAATGTAAAATGTTGTCCTTAACTTTAATGAGTTGTTTCCAGGAAAAGCTTTAGGGAGTGAAGAAAATGAAAACGTTTTTCTCTTACACATAATGCATGGATACATGTGAAGAATAGGCAGTCAACTTCCCACTATAGGGTGCTAATATTGTTAAAACAATATGTTCTGGAGGGGTTATTTTGATATTTTTGTTTTAATTTTGGGAACAAGATATTTAGCTTCTAATGTAAAACATGACTGAATGAATGAACCTGCACTGTTGTTAGTGCTGGTGTTACTAGAATTGCAGTATTCTAAAGACACTTTGATGGCAGAAGCGGAGCACATGAGATGATACAGATGATGGAAAGGATTTTGCTCATTTAAATAAGAAGCATAAGTTGCCAAAAAAGAGTTTCTTCATTCGATTCTTCTTAAATTTGTAGGCAAACATACTGTTGGCTCAGAAAAAAAAAAAGATTTCTGTATGTACCACATCAAGAACAAAGTCTACCAGAAGACACAAGCCCATTTGTGCCCACTGCTGCAAAGACAAATATTTTGTGTGCAGCAAATCTTATGGCCAGTTCCGAATTGTCCAGATTGAAGGACTTCATGAAAGTGCATACATGCTCCTTTCCAATCTGTGCATATGGAAACCAGGACAAAAAAGGAAAGGAGCTACAGAGATGGATGCTGTTCCAGGGAATGTACCAGTGACCTAGCTTTGGGAAGTGAACCCAGATCTTTCAGTAGAGCTATTGCTGAAATACAGTTACTTGCTTCACTGGGGAAGCTCTTACAGGGTTGTCTTAGACTGAGTTCCCAATCTACAGTAAGGACTAATTAAACACAATATCCTCTTCTAATAGGTGTCTGGCATGAGTTTCAGTTGTACAGTCCCTCCTGTACAGGACGGGAAGAAGTGCACAAAGTCTGGAGAGGCAGAAAGGAGCTAGTGTGCTTGAACACTAGTTTGGAGCTTTAGTTACTATTACAAGACAGTTTTCTGTGTTTCTCATTAGGAAGTTTTACTGGAAATTGCAGCACTTCATACTTGGGTAAAGGAATTACAGGGTGTATAAATGAACAGGTTTCAAGGTTCAGGAATAGATTACAGCTCCTCAACAAGGAACAGTCCCAGCTGGTTCAGTTAACAGTCCCTTACACAAGAGTAGGTCCAGCCGGTCTTGAGAAAGGCAGGGAACCGTCGAAGGTAATATAAGTCATGCAGCATGGATTGTGCAGGTATGTAAAAAGCAAGCAAACAGCAATTATGACTAGTCCCTGCTGAGCTTCGTTAGAGCCAGCCAGCATGCGTCTGCCTCTCTCAGGACTAGTCCTGCAGGAAGTCCTGGCCCAGTGCTGTGTTAATGGATTAATACTGCATTGGTGTTTTGGTACAATTGCTCACTAATTTGCCATGCCTTAGTATAAACTTGCTTGGAGTAACAGTTTGCATGCAAATTAGCCATAGGTCTCCATAAGGACATTTTTAGCTGAGCTCCTGATGCAGTCTGTTGGGTTACTCCATTTCTGGAATGTAAAGCTGTGAGGCAGCACTTGGAGCACAGTGCTCTTCCCAGCTGTGAGGAGACCAGCAGGTCTCTCTACTTCCAGGTACACCAACACATTGTTGGGTACAGGTGGACTTTCTTCCAATCAGAGAAAAATCATTTTGCCCATGGAATGGGTGGGAGGGAGGAGGACGTTGCACTTGCTCTGTGCTCTGCAAGCAAAGGATGATGTTCAGAAAAAAATGTTGGGATCAGTGGAAGGACATGTACAGACTTCCCACTTCTTCATTGCCTTATATTTTCTCCTTTTACAGATGAAGTAAATACAAGAGTGCCCTCCTTTCTGTTTCATGCCAAATTAGGGCATTCCCAAGAATAGTTTTGAAGCACTGCGATTTGTCACAGGTTTCTGTAAAGTGTTAACACTATTAGCAATTGCATAAGCAGAAATTGATATTTAATGCTGTCTGATTGCAGACCATTTCATGGCTGTCTATTGTTAAATTGACTGTGCTCCTACTCTGCAATAAGAAAGTGCAATTGAAATCACAGTCCTCCTTCCATGGCAGCATTCTGTATGATTAGGACTATAACATTTTATTTTTCCTGCTCAAATGTGGAAGGCCTGTGAGACCTGCTTGACTAGATTTACAAGCTAAAGCTCATAACTGGTCAAAAAACACAGCCTTACCAGAACTGAAGAAGCCCCATCATTTGGATCCCACTTTGACTTAGGAATGACTTGTTAGGGTACATTTCTTCTGTGTTGTCCTATTTGACATAAATCTTTCCAGGCTGTGCTGTGGCCCTTTATCCAAGGAGTTTTCAGTCTAACTCAGAAGAAACCCAAACCAGACATTAGCTTTAGAACCAGGCGAGGAAAGATTACTCCTTCAGGGCATGAATATCTTGGGCAATGACATC